CTGAGACCCAGGGAGTAGAGGAGGACGAATGAAGAGCCACGGTGTAGAGCAGTGTGCTTAGTAAAGGATGAGGAGGGAAAGGAAGCGGCAAACTGATTTTTGCCCCTCCCCTCCCCAATGTATGAGAGCCTACAAACCAGATTCCTAGGGAATCCACTGAAGGTTTTCTTACTCCTGATTCCCAAGGGAGGGTGATAAAGGCATTGACTCTGCAGCTATCATTATCTCGTTAGCAAGAGGAGCTTTGAAAGGGGAAGACCGAGGTTACTGAGACTGGGAATCCAGCCAGGCTGTGACGGAGGGTCACTGGCGATGGCATGGTTCTCAGAGGCTCAGGAGGAAATAGGAAATCACCAATGGCCCCAATCATGATTTTGTCGCCCCTGTCTGCCAATCACTCCTGCTCAGGATTTGCCTGTCTGTCATTGGCCCTGTGGAGTGGGCTGGTAGTCAGGAATGTGTGCTGGTTGGCCATCAGTTGGGAAGTTCAGATTGCACAGAGTGGGTGAGGACTGAGTGGGGATAAGTGAGGGGCCCAAGCTGCCTAGGTGCCTATCTCTCTGATTCATAATGTCATTTTCCCCCCTCTCACATTAGTCTCATTTATAAAATGGCAGGACAGTAAACAGCTCAGTAGGGATTTTAATTAAGTATGGTTAGATGAGATGCTATAGGGTTTTTGGTGGATGCAAAGGCAGATTTCTAACATCCAGCATGAGCGGACACACGATAAAAGTACTTTTCTTTGGGGTGGTCTCGCCTGGGCCTTTAAGCGGATGACTGATGTTTCAGGCATGTGTGGAACAGGCTGACCTTTGTTTTCATAAAGAATCCTCTGAGTTTTTCAGATCGGCCTTCACAGTCATCATGTCAGCATATTGCCTGAAAATCTAGTGTTGAAAACGTGACTCTCAGAGACTGAGCTAAGGGGACACAGTTGCTCCCCCTACCGTTCTGTGGCGTTAATCCCCTGCTGTTTGGGGGATTAAGTGTTCCCCATGTTGTCAGCAATAGACATGGTTGAGCATTGGATAGCTTTGCAGCAAACCATCAGGCAGATGAGGGGCTGTGTTGAGTCATGATGATGGTGATGACAGTTGACCCGTTCATTCATTCATTTGTCCTCCACCAGTTGAACTTGGGCCAGCTGGTCAGAAACGTGTGCTGGTTAGACATCAGTTCAGAAGTTCAGATCGTCGTCATTGCCTTGGCATCCCCATTCCTAAAACAGGACTGAGAGGTTAAGGATCTTGCATTTTCCAAAGTGAATTCTGGAATATCCAGAGCTGGACCATCATGACTGGACTCCCCATTCTGGATAGGAGACGAGAGGATGGCTGTCCCGAGCGTGGCTGCGGGAAGAAGGGCTTGAGCAAAGCTTAGGATGTCCAAGCACTTTGCAACTGTCTTGGTATTTGCTCACCCTGATTGTAAAAAGGAGGGAGGAGCACTTGCACACATAGGATAACGATGCAGCAATTTAAAATCAACCACTGTGCTGCGAGAATTCTTAAAACATGCAATGCCTGTCTATTTAGTCAGGGGCACTGACCTCTTTTCCCTTAGGTTATCAAATTTTAAAAAATGACACCAGCCAACACAACAATAGCCATTTGGTGTGAATCAAAATTATACCTACTTTTTGCCAGACCGGCAAAAAAATATTTTTTGTTGTGCTGCAGAATTTTAGTAGTCAGTTTATGTGTGCCATTGGATAAAAAAGGTTGAAAATTGTTGAAAAAATCAATTTTTAAATAAAAATACTATTCCCAGTTTTGAGAGGTGAGAAGACCACATGTATACATTTGTCAGTATCTACCTGTGGATAATATATATGCTTATTGACAGAAGACACTTTGAAGGCTAGACAACAAAATATTAAGGATACTTCTGAAGACTTTTTATTTCTTATGATTTTATTTTACTTTTTTGAAGCTTTCACAAGAGATCTTTTATATTGAAACATGTTGAGTTTTATAAAGAAAAAATATTTGACCCAGTGGAAGAATTAGGGATGACCCCCTGTGTCTGGTGTTCGGAACTCTGTAAGCTGGGTTTTGCTCTGTGATTGTGGGCATGTGCTTGACCTTTCAGTGCCTTGGCCTATCCCAGGGCAGTGCTCCATGAGTTATTTTTGCTTTAGTTGCTTACAGTAGCACCCCCTTATCTGTGGTTACACATTCTGCAGTTCTAATTACCGGGTCAACTGTGGTTCAGAAATATGTGGGAAATTCCAGAAATAAACAATTTTATAAGTTTTAAATTGTGTACCCTTCTGAACAGCGTGATGAGATCTCGTGCTGTCCAGCTGTGTCCCACTCCTGATGTGAGTCATCGCTTTGTCTAGGGTCTCCACGCTATATACACTACCCCCCATTAGTCACTTTTACTTAGTAGCCCTCTTGGTTATCAGATTTGCTTGCTGTCACAGCGCTTCTGTTCACGAAACCTTCATTTTACTTAATAATGGCACAAAAGTGCAAGAGTAGTGATGCTGGCAATTCAGATATGCTGCAGAGAAGCCATGAAGTGCTTCCTGGAAGTGAAAAGGTTTGTCTGCATAGTATACCTAGGGTTTGGTATTGTCTGTGGTTCCAGGTATCCATTGGGGGCCTCAGAACATATCCCCTGTGGATAAGGAGGGATTACTCTATTTCCTGGGAAGCAATGATGGGATAAAGTTTATTTGCAGCTTTTATAAGACTTTGTTGTTAAGTATGGAAGACAAATTAAGTTCGCTCCATCCATTAGGGGTGAAGCTGGAGGTTGTCCTGGCCTGTTCCCCCTAAGCAGCCCCATCCTCTCTAGGCCTGGGATTCTGTGGGCCTGCCTTCCCCCTAGAATCAGTTATCTAAAAAAAGCTCCTTTGGCACTAATCTTTGCTTCTTCCTTACATAGCCCTTTTCCTCACTGGTAAAGCAAAGAGGTAGGCTAGATGTTTATTTTTGTTTGTTTGTTTGTTTAAAAATATATTTTTATTGATTTCAGCGAAGAAGGGAGAGGGAGATACAGAAACATCAATAATGAGAGAGAATCATAGATCGGCTGCCTTCTGCATCCACTGGGGATCGAGCCCACAACCTGGGCATGTGCCCTGACCAGGAATCGAACCGTGACCTCCTGGTTCATAGGTCGATGCTCATCTGCTGAGCCACAACCGGGCGTGCTGGACTAGATGTTTTTAAGAAAACATCTAGGTCATTTTGAAGATTAAATTGTATCAATAATATAAAAGCACCTTAGCTAAACAAATGCTAAAGTGATTTAGCATACATATACGAAAACCTTCAGTAACTTAGTGCTATTGGTGTTTCTCTAAATCCTTGTTTCTGGACCTGGCCTTTAACACCGTGTTGAAACTCGTGACATTTGTACAGCTAACGCCAAATGATCAGTGAGCCTTTTCTGCAAATGTTGTAATAAGGGGAGAAAAAATCCAGGAAATGGCTCTTGTCTGCTTATTGTGTTTTTAAGTCTCCTCAGCTGGTCAGCAGTAAATATTTCTCATAGACTATTTCACTTATGTGTTTATTTCTTACTCATATTATGGGGGCATTTTCCTGTCTCAGTGGGGAGGAAGAGAGGGGTGGATTTACCAGACCTGAAAGAGCCATTAAAACCATCGCCTCCAGTAGTGACAGAATCACAATGATCAATGTCATTCATTCCCAAATGCCACTGTGAGGATCTTGGCTCATCCACCAATGTTTGTGGATAAAAAAGAAAATAGCGTTTTATGCAAGTAGTTCCTTTCTATGATGCTAGAATGTTCTTATGAGGCTGTGCGTAGATGGCGATACTTTCTTTAAATGGCCCTAGTTGGCAATTAAGAATGACCAACTGTGTCAGACATCCAAGTTCAGCGGTAGAAAATAGAAAACTGAACCATGAAATCCAGGAGGTTAGACGCCACCACAGATACTAAGGTGGATTTAAGTAGGGTCTACAGAGCATGTTGGGGATTCCTGCCAGAGGGTTTTAGAAACAGCTTCAAAGGGAAGCCAGATTCACTTTCTTCCTCAAGTATCTGACCTATTTCTGCTTCAGTCGTCATCTTTGTGCAACATTTTTAGAAATGGAGAATGGGAGAAAGACAAGCATCAAAGCGAAGTCTGTTTCTTAGTCTGGGCAACCTCCACCTGATTCCTCTTATAGATTTTGCCAGATGGTCTTTCTTTTTCATTTACTTAAGGTGTGTGTATGTTTTAAGAAAGAAATACATAAATGCTACCCAGAAAGGAATACGTTCATTTTTTTTTTCTCTCAAGGGAAAGAATGCTCAGTTGAATTTAGGGACTGAATAAAGTTCTGCCAATGAGTTCACCCTTGGAAAACATTGAAATTCTCCCAAACATACTAATTAAGGTGCTTTTTGTCTTCTCTGTTGGTTTTCCCTTTGAAGATACCATAAAAGTTGCATGCTGCGAGAGGGAGGAGCCGGGTTTGGAGGAAATGAATGACATGGTCTCTACTTGGCCATCAGCCTTGCACTTGAATGGCCTAATCTAGAGACTGGTCTCCAAACTTTTTTGATGGCCTGAATGCCTTGGCTGTGCTGGGCAGCTGTGCCGTTGAATGGTCCTGGAGTTGTGCACTGCACCACCTGTGTAACTGTAAGCCGTGGCCTGATGCACCCCAGCAAAAATAGAAATGAGCGTAGGCACTCAAGAGGTGTATATTTGCTTGTAAATTATATATGTGTATGTGTCATCCACTTAGATGATATATGGATAAAACATGATTTCTTACTTCATTAAAAAATGGAAATGAATAGCAGTTCTCACAAATTCCATTTATGCACAAGGGGTGGTTTTGAACACCCTCTGAGGTAAGCCACCCACTTGGGAGATGTTGGCCTGGAAGAGTGCATAGGGTCCTCTCTATCATTCAGGCAGGGCAATATACATTTGTAGGGCAGGGTTGCTTTTTAGCAGTAGAGTACTTATGGGTCTTACCCCTTCCTGCCAGGACCTTTGTCCTTACCTGGGTTTCTATTTCAGAGTACACAGTCATTAATGAAGCCTGTCCCGGAGCCGAGTGGAATATCATGTGTCGCGAGTGCTGTGAATATGATCAGATTGAATGCGTCTGCCCTGGAAAGAAGGAAGTTGTGGGTTATACCATCCCTTGCTGCAGGAATGAGGACAATGAGTGTGACTCCTGCCTGATTCACCCAGGTGAGTGTGGAATGGGAGACCTGAGGTTGCCTTGCGTTTTCTGAGGTCATGAATGGGAACAGGCTGAACTCTTGTCCTGACGGGAAGCCATCAGGAGGCTGTGAGGCCATGCCTATTAAGAATGGCGTAATTCAGCTCATTCTAACGGGAGGAGTTCAGTGTTTTCAGTGTTAAACTCATAAAACTGTGAATTTATATACTCATTCATTGATTTAACAAACAAACTGATATCAAACTGTACTACAAGGCTATAGTAATAAAAACAGCATGGTACTGGCATAAAAACAGACATACTGATCAATGGATAAGAATAGAGAGCCCAAGAGTAAACCCACGCCTTTATGGTCAATCAATATTTGTCAAAGGAGGCAAGAACATACAATGGGGTAAAGACAGTCTATTCAGTGAACGGTGTTTGGAAAACTGGACAGATACATTCCAAAAAAAAAAAAATGAAACTAGACCATCTCCTTACACCATACACAAGAATAAGCACAAAATAGATTAAAGATTTAAATGTAAGAGTCAAAACCATAAAAATCCTAGGAGAAAACATAGGCATTAAAACTCAGACATTTCTTGTAGCAATATTTTTTTCTGATACATCTCCTCAGGCAAGGGAAATAAAGGGGAAAATAAATAAATGGGACTACATCAAACTAAAAAGTTTTACACAGCAAAGAAAACCATCAATAAAATGAAAAGACAGCCTACTGAATGGGAGAACCTATTTGCCAATGACATAGCTGATAAGGGGTTAATATCCAAAATTTATAAAGAATTCAAACAATACCAAAAAACTAAACAACTCAATTAAAATAATGGGCAAAGGCCAAGAGACTTATGAAAAGATGCTCAATGTCACTCATAATCAGAGAAATGCAAATTAAAACCACAATAAGATATTACCTTACACATGTCAGAATGGCTATCATCAATACGTCAACAAACAACAAATGTTAGCAAGGATGTGGCGAAAAGGGAACCCTCATTCTGTTGGTGGGAATGCACCTTGGTGTAGCCACTGTGGAAAACAGTATGGAGTTTCCTCAAAAAATTAAAAATGGAACTCCCTTATGGCCCAGCAATTCCACTTCT